CCGAAGCACGCTTGCTGCTTGAATGTCAAAATGCTTCCTCATAAGGTCACAAACTTGCATCGCTTGTTACGCTGGCAATCGCTCACAGTTACTGCTTGATATTCTTGGCTGTGTCCGATATGGGCGAGCAAAATGGTTGCTTTAAAGAGCGACCAACATTCTCTGTTATAGCTTCAATGATCCACTGATATAATGCAAGTGATCGTTGTAGCTGCTCCAAAATGTGACGAAAATTTGAGTGTTTTGTTGAGAGCACTGCTTGACGAAGGAAGCAACCAAGCAAACATTTCACCGTTGAATAGCACGTTGAGGAAAACAAAATCTCGAATTGCAAAAAAAAATTTCAGAAACATGTTCAATGGAATGACTAACCTCGAATTCTCCTTTCAGTATCGGTCCAGCGCTCGCGATATACAATTTATGAGCATCATCCATAATCAGTTGCGAGGGTTTCCGCTTCACCTGAACAAATGACAATCAAATTTAAACTAATGCTACAATAGCATATTGTAAAACAACAGTGCTGAATTACAGGTGTTTATATGTACTGGTATGTAATGCCCAGATTCGATGAGCAACCTTACGATATTGTATAATTTTTAGAATGCGCTTATGTTGAAGGGTAGTTTTGCATGAATATATTTGATCAACGGCATTATATGGTGCGGTATACCATTTTTGGGTTTTAACACTCAATACGGTTGGATTCCCTCAACAGCCATATCGGATCTAGCGCTCTCGCGATGAATAATGAATTCAACTACTGAAGAGCACAATTTGACGTCATGAACCAACAATACCGCTTCAGTTGGTACATCCTTGCCCAAAAACATCCCATTCATGCGATTCTCAGCAAACGACTTGCAGCTGGTTCAGCAGCCATGATTGACTTTCACGGCTAATTGATGACCAACCAGCAGTAGCACAAACAAAGTAACATTTGGTGAACCTGTCGAGTCGCGAATCGTGTGCATCTGAAGTAGAGCACAACGTTGTCGTCGTGAACTTCCAACGCAAATTTGGTCCACTGATCGGTGAAATCCGGTACGAGGAACGACGTGAGCGCTCGAGATTCTGTCTCTTTGTTCGAGTCCGTATACAACAAAGTTATGTTCGTTTGACTTCCGCCTGCAAACCACCAGCTCTCAGAATCGTTTATGAGAAATTTTGTTGCCTGTAGAGCATGCCGAAACTGATTTTCGAAAGATGGAGCAGACTGTGATTTTGACATTCAATACTTTGACAGTGTGAAATTGCTTTTGATGGCTACACACTATCGGTACGTCGTTGCTCAAAAATATCCGATTCATGAGTTATTCATGCGAT